TATATATATATATATATATATATATATATATATATACTGTATATTGAATAGTGCTCCTTCAGTTCTAGCAGGAATGACTGTACTGAAGTCCATCTGTTTTCCTCTGTTGCAGGATGGAGTCAACGGAAAAGTGTGATGTAGTGATCCAAAATTTCAATGGGAAATTTTTGAAAACCCCTCCAGGCATGGCAGGTATAAACTGACATTTACACACAAAATTCAGCTGTTTGACTCAATACATTTTGAATACTCATTGTTGTTGTTACCCAGCCTAAACGATCTTTTCATGAGAGAGGACTGAGCTCAGTCAGAGACTCTACAGGATGAATATGTTTAATAACTGACAGGAAAATTAACCATCACAGTGTTGATGTGGAGTGGGTGGGTGAGTGTTACGTGATTCAATTTTACAGAAACAGTAAGTTCTGTGGGTTACTGTTAAAATTATCTCTGAATTATTGCAATTACATACTGTTCTTGAGCACAAGAGACTGTGGGAGCCGTAGAGCCTTCTGGGTAATGCTGGGACAGAAATGGATGGACTTTTTCAGGTTCTTTTTTTCAGATTTGTTGTTCTTGTTCTTTGTAAGTCAGATGCTTTACCTCACATATGAAAAGGAGGAAAACCTTTCCAGCTTAATGAGTTACTGCTGTGTGAAACTGAAAAGAAAGTTACGTCATCGAATGGCAACTTCACTGTCTAAATAGTATTTTTTCAATGTTAGCATTTAATAAGTTGTTAAAACATTATATCCTAGTTGAAGGCCCAGCTCTTATAGTCATGGATTGCCTCTGTTATTCAGTCATTTTTCCATCAGCTCACTGGCAGTCTAGTCTGGCTGCTGTTTTCTACACAACTTTACTTTGCGTGTTTAAAGAGACTGCAGTGGTTTGATTTTTGCATAGAGTTTACGATTACTTGACTTCAGTGGGTGCACTTAACACAGAGTAAACCTGCTAATAAAGCTTTTTGGTAATTTACTGTGTTATAATCTGATAAAACAATCACACAAGGTGTTCGACCATGTTCCTCGGGGTACAATGTGGGGGGTGTACCACGAGAAGGGGATTGGGGGTCCGCTGCTACGGGTTGTTTGGTCCCTATATAGCGGTGCAAGAGTTTGGTTTGCATTACTGGGAGTAAGTCAGACCCCTTAAAGGTGTGTGTTGGACTCCACCAGGACTGCCCGTTGTCACCGATTCTGTTCATTACTTTTATGGACAGAATTTCTCAGTGCAGCCAGGGGGTGGAGATTGTCCAGTTTGGTGGCCTCAGGATTCCTTCTCTGCTATTTGTGGATGATGTGGTCCTGTTGGTGTCATCATGCTATGATCTTCAGTTTTCACTGGACTGGTTCACAGCCAAGTGTAAAGTGTCTGGGATGAAATCAGCACCTCCAAATCCGAGGACATGGTCCTCAGTTGGAAAAGGGTGGATTGCTCTCTTCAGGTCGAGGGTGAGGTTCTGCCTTGAGGGGAGGAGTTTAAGTATCTTGGGGTTTTGTTCACGAGCGAGGGAAGAATGGAGTGTGAGACTGACAGATGGATTGGTGCAGTGCCTGCAGTACTGCAGACTCTATGCCAGTCAGTTGTGGTGAAGAGAGAGCTGAGCTGTAAGGCAAAGCTCTCTGTTTACCTGTCAGTCTACGTTCCTACCCTCACCTATGGCCATGAACTCTTGGCAGTGGCTGAAAGAACGAGATTGCAGATACAGGCGGTTGAAATGAGTTTCCTCTGCAGGGTAGCTGGACTCTCCCTTAGAGATAGAGTGAGAGGTTCAGTTATCTGGGAGTAACTCAGAATAGAACCGCTGCTCCTCCACATTGACAGGAGCCAGTTGAGGTGGTTCGGGCATCTTGTAAGGATGCTTCCTGGGTGCCTCCTTAGGGAGGTGCTTTGGGCATGTCCAACTAGGAGGATATACCGGGGAAGACCCAGGACACGCTGGAGAGTATACATCTCTCGGTTTGCCTGGGAACACCTTGGAATCCTACCGGAAGAGCTGGAAGATGTGGCTGTGGAAAGAGATGTCTGAGCCTGCTCAAGCTGCTGCCCCCAAGACCCGACTTGAGAACAAGCAGAAGATGATGGATGGGTGGATGGATGGATTTTTTTTTTACTATGTGAAGATTTGAGATGCGCTCAGTTTCAACCTGTTCAAAAATCCTCACTGAAATTGTATTTGCTTTAAAATGAATGGATGTTAATTATTCCCAGGCAGCACGGTGGCACAGTTGGTAGAGCTGCTGCCTCTCAGTGAGCTGGTTGGCCTGGAAGAAATCCTGACCGGGGCGGCCTTTCTGGGTGGAGCTTGCATGTTCTCTGCGTGCATGTGTAGGTTTTCTCTGTGTACTCCAGTTTCCTCCCACAGAACAAAAACATGCATGTTAGGCTGACTGGTAACTCTAAATTGTCCCTAGGTGTGAGTGAGAGAGTGAATGATTGTCTTGTTTGTCTCTATGTGTCCCTGTGATGGACTGGAGACCTGTCTAGGGTGTCCCCTGCCTCTCACACAGTGATGACTAGTCATGGGCACCAGTGACCCCCACGACCCAAAAAGGAAGAAGTGGTTAAAGATAATGGATGGATGGATGGATGGTTAATTATTCCTTTTAGGTTTACATTAATAATTTCCAATATTACAGTTGTACTTTGGTTTCATTACTTAATGACATTTTACAAAAACATTGATTCAACTCAATCAGAATTATTGAATTTACATGTTGTACTTGAACATAAGAGATGGGGTGAGCCACATTGCCTACTGGGTAATCGTGGGACAGAAATGGGTTTACTTCTTTAGGTTATGTGTTCAAATGGGTTGTGAGTTCTTGGATTGTGAAACTGAAGGTAAAATGATGTAACTGTGACTCGGTTGCATCTCTGAGTCATGGTTTGTCACCGCTGTACATGTTCAGTCACTGACAAGGTGGAATGAGGTCACATTTGGAATTAATCTGTTAATACTGACTTAAAGTCATTATTTGTGTTTTTAAAGTCAACTAGCTGTGGCAGCCATATTAAATAGAGTTGGGTCAAAACTTTAATCAGTTATGTCTGTACAATGATTTATTTTTGCATGTTTTATTAAAATCATTTCAGTGGTTAATGAGATAATTTCATAACAAACAGACATGCCCACACAGACAGAGACAAAAACATCATCCACCTTTATCTTTAGTTAAAAATGAGAACACATGAAAAACAAGGCACAAAGCCATAATGTCAAATTCAGCTGGCCAAAAATTGTCACCGACAGTTTTCTGAGAATCAGTGCACAGTACATCCAGTTCATCGCAGTAGAGTTAACTGCAACAACTGTACTGACAACTCCTCACAGTCCACCACACCCACTACAGTATGTTCCCTGTAAACACATCCTGGATTTAAAATTGCATTTCTTTAAAACATTTTTTGCCTGTTTGCATTCACCTGTAATCATTCAGGTGAGAAGTGAAGAAGAATTTCTTTTCACTGTTATGCCGACGATGCACAGCTTTACATCAGGACTGGAGCATCATCATCACCATTGTCATCTCCATCTTCACTCACTGCCCTCTCTACCTACCTGGAGGAGATAAGGACATGGATGAATCAGAACTTTCTTCAGTTAAACTGCTCCAAAACAGAGGCCATACTGATTGGCACCCCTCAACAGGTTCAAACCTCAACTATAACGACTATTTCCTTTTCTGGACAAGACATCCCCCTCTCCACCTCTGTTACAAATCTTGGAGTAAGAATGGACTCTCATCTTACATTTGAAAATCACATTAAGTATCTGTTTAAAACCTGTTTCTTCCATATTCGAAATATCTACAAACTTCGCCCGTCTCTCACTTTTGCTGATGCAGAGAAACTCGTTCATGCTTTTGTCTCTTCCAGTCTCGACTACTGCAACTCCCTGTTTACTGGAATACCCGGCAAAAACCTTCAGAAACTTCGATATATTCAAAACAGTGCAGCCAGGATTTTATTGAGAGCTATTAAATTTGAACATATTACACCCATTCTCCATAACCTCCATTGGCTTCCTGTCACCTACAGAATTCAGTACAAAATTGCTCTCATCACCCAACGGTGTTTATACGGAAATTCACCTGATTATCTGAAGGACCTTCTTGCTCCATATTCATCTACCCGGTCCCTATGACCACAGAACAGTCATCTCCTCCACCTTCTACAAACTAAATTAAGGACCATGGGAGATCGGGCATTCTGTGTGGCTGCCCCCCACCTCTGGAACTCCCTCCCTGAATATCTGAGAGCTCCACAATCATGGACTGACTTTAAAAAAGGCTTAAATACGTTTCTTTTTAAGCAAGCCTATTCTGCCTCCACATGATTGTATCATTGATTTTATCATTGATTTTAGTTGCACTCTGTAACACTTTGAGATTTTTGTTAAAAGTGTGTTACAAATTAAATTCATTATTATTATTAAGTGATCAATCGCATTGTGAATGAGGTGAATTTTACACGTACAATTTATTCATGACATCATGACTTTTTGTCCAAACCACACTGAGCAAGATCCAAAAAGAAGAAATTCAAGATTTATTTTTATTTATTTATTTTTTTATTTCAAGTCATTGACTTATTACAAATAAACAAGCAGTACGCCAATGTCCCCTTCGCTGAGGGATTTGAATAGTGAATGTTCGTGGTTTTCGATTTGAGTGCTTTTATGGACTGGAGTTGAACAGAGAATTCAGGGAAACTTTAATATTTTGGTGCAAGATAATTAAGTGTGTACAAGTTACACTAAGAACAGAGGGAGGTTGGGTTTTTTTTTTTTTTTTTTTTTTTGTGGCAATGCAGAGTGATGGATCCTGGCAAGTGGAGGGAGCAATTTTGTCCACCTCCAGGTGCAGTGGAGGAGCCAGTGGGTGGTCAATGGAGGCCTTGACCTCCATATCTTAATCTTCAGCCACCCCAATCAATGAAGGAAACTATACTTTTAAGGAATATAAAAACTAGAAAGCATATTTTCCTCATATAATTAGGATGGCCGTTTTACATAATGGTGGTGGCCATTTTGAATTTTGACATGGCATCTAATTGTTAATAGCGTTATAATGTGGAGTTACCCAGGTGAACAGACTGAGAGGGAAACAGAACCAGACTCAACTGTAATTGAAAATGTTTATTTACAGTGAAAAAATAAATTTACAAGCAGGTTCAGGGTCTGT